TATAGGTATGCGCTATAAATCGTATCCTTTCGTATAAGTATAATATGTGTATAATAATATACGTAGGTATATACACCTATAATAAATAAATATATAAACAAACGACCTCCGGTGGAAATATTTTTTTTTCTTTTMTCATTTCGACTCTCCCCCCGAGTGCATAGTTCTGAAGCCGACAACGCGCAATTACGGTCCGCCGTTTGCTTGGAAAACGTCGTGATTGAAATTTTAATATACATATTATTATTATTTATTGCATATATATTGTAATCAGTGGCGCAACTAGGATTGTAAGGGCTCAGCGTACCGGCGATTGTAAACTGCGCCCAATATTCAGGTAAACACAAAATCACACATGAATCTGCGCCCGAGTTTTTATCAAGAGTAAAAAGRTGACATGTAAACTGCGCCCCGGTAAAATTACAGGTAATATAATTAATTCGTTACAGCCATACATAATATGAATAATTAAAAATATAATATAATATTAAAAAGCAAAATAAATACAAATATTACAAATAACGTCACGTTGTTATAAGATATTAGGAATTAAAAAAAATATAATTTTAAAAATTWAAATAATTCTAAATATTACAAACAATAACATATGGTGGATACATATTCATCAATTGGAATTTGACTACTATTTATATAAAATAACCTTCAAAATTATATATTTTGGGAAGATTTAAATTTTAAATGTTTTTTTTTGAAACTTCATTTTTTTTTTTTTTTGTTTTAGTTTTGGAATTTAAACGGTTCATTTATACTATTTAGTTTAATGTATATTTCTATTTGAATTTCTTTTAATTGTTCTATGTTCGGCCATCGTGACTTTACTGATTAAAATGAATACGATAGGTACTAACAGAACTATGCCGGAAGTAGTGATAACCATCAATTTACTATCGTATTACTGCAATGTAGATATTCAATAATGTTTTGGTATTTCTTGACGAAAATAAAATGTCTGTGATATACTTGAAAAAGTACATAGAAAAACATAGAAACTTTAATAAGTTAATAAGTCGGGCGCAGTTTACACTATACCTCTTCAACATAGATAAAAATTCGGGCGCAGTTTACAAAATAAGGTCATTTGGGCGCAGCTTACGTATGCCCCAGCGTACAAATTTAACGATGAACAAAAGAAGGGTTCTGGGTTATTCACCACGTTTTAGACTGAAAAACAAACATTAAATTATGTGTAAAGAAAGATTAATATAAGAATATAACGTTTATAAAAATCCAATAATAAAAGTATAAAAATAACTGTTAAGTAATTTTTTTCTTGACTTTTATAATTCAATAAACCGATAAATTCATCAAAATTTATAGTTTTTGTCGTACTTTTTTTAAAGCTAAGGTCTGAAGAACCTCTGGAATCGTGGATTTTCCAAACGATATTTATGCACTAGCGCTGGAAGAGTTATTTATAACATTGAACTTGTGTAAATTTTGAATAAATAAATAGTAAACTTGAATTTTTTTTAGATTGTTTATTAAAAGACATCTTTAGAACTTTTTTTWAAAAAATGCGCAATTAGAAATTTATACTAAAATAGCATAATTGTCATACTTATTTTAAATTAGGTAATTCAAATGTTGAAATTGGGGGGACAGAGACCATCACTACCATTGGTTGCGATTTGTGCTGTACGCCTGTATTCCCCATACACGATGACTGTAAACTTATTATTATCTCAAATCAATTTTCACGGGGTGTCCACCGTGGTGAAAATGGTGAGAATAAAAATAANTTCGTTTTTTGGTATGCTAAAAAATCGAAACAATCATCATTTGGATTTTTTATTCATAATTTCCACTGTGTGCTGTCGATTTCTTATCAGCGGGAAATTTTCTTAAAAATAAAGTCTAATATTTAAAGTTTTTATCATAAATTTAGKCGTTACAGGTGTGACTAAAAAGAGTCGAGCGTTTTATCATTGAAGATTTTTGCTTTATGAACTTACATTGGTTTAAGAAGACCGTCTTAATTCAGTAATGACTATGTATGATTTGACGTTAAAAACTGTGGCATTGTGTTTGACCTAAAAAAAATGTATTACAGTGAAACCTCTCTGTAACGAAATCGCATGGGACCAAACATTTTCCCGTTATTAAGAGTTTATTYGCACTTGGAGTATTGACATTTTCTGTTATACGGAGGATTTCGTGTAATAGATGATCCGTTATAGAGAGGTTTTACTGTATCTATATTATTTTAGTCATAGTAAATTGTTATTTGATATTTTGATGTGTATAATCCATTTCTATACCATAACTTAACTATTATTTTTATAAAAACGAGGTTTCCTCCACTTACCATCTTAAGCTTTCCGTATACCACTTAAGTGGTAAGTATAGTACGCGTACCATAGGTTGACGACCACACAATGGTATAAAATGATAYCGTTCAACCGCGTCTGCTGGAAAATAATGTACTGTGGCTTCTAGTTGGTAATTATTGGTACCCGATAGATGGGTAATGAAATATTCGCTCGATGATTTGTAACTGAAGCAAAAACAAAAAATATTATTTCCGTATTATATACACCAACACATAATCTATAATACCTAGGTAGGTATACCTAGATATATTATTATTATTATTATTATAGTCTTCCACATAAAATGGTCTTCAAACTTAGTTCATTTTGTGATTATATAATAATAGATTAATAACAATTTATCAATAATTTATTCTGCTTGCGTGTGGTATTTTGTTACAGTCGACATCAACACATTTTTAAATAGATACCATACCTAGGTTAAGTTTAATCATTTGTAAATTGATAATAATTATCGAAAATGATGAATAAAAGTATCACATTTCGCCGTTGGCAATAAAACAAACGTGACGGCGTGGTTGGTGGTGTGTGTATTACTCATATTATAATATTATGTATACAGCGTTAGGTTAGATATTATTTTTGTATATATTATTATTATGTAAAACGTGCATGTAAATGGTTGTTTAAAGAAGATATCATAAATATTAATATTTTTATGATTTAACCGATTCTGCGGTATTTGCGTCGTAGTCGCTAAACTCACTAAATTACATGAAATACTGTTGTTTTCTTTGTTCGCTAAATAAAATACCCGTATATTATTAAAAGAGTACAATTAATGTTTTCGATTTTTTTTCAAATTCTTTTTTTACGCTCGTAAATACAGAGCACAGGGTACATGTTGTACCTGTAGGTATTTATTTTTCCAACAGGATATATACTGATATATTGTAGCGAATAATATGCGTTAAACCATATAAATGAAATATATTATCCTCAGTCGCCAGTTCGTAACAACATTAACAATAATAATAATTGTAATAATATAATGATATACATTTATAATATCATGCCGCATAGATCGCCGCCGCCGCTGTCGGTAGCACAGGTTCTATACGGATYTAGATCATTTTTATTTTTATTTTTTTTTGTTCTTTCCGACCTTGACATTAGACGTCGATAACCATTGCCGAGGGAGAGGTGTTTGGAAAAAATTAATTAAATCGAATATCGTACACGATATAATATATCATTAAAATATTATTTACGAATCGCGTGCGTTGTGAAATAAATATTATTCAACTCGTATTATTCACACGACTCACATAATATGTATTATTTATATATCTATACCAGCTGAGTGAATATATTTCTACTTTAAACATATTATGTGTGTAGGAACCTACTAATATATAGGTATTTACTTCTTGCGGAAAAACACAAAATCCACATTCGAATAATTGAATAAGGAATGTGTATATAGGATTGCATGTATAATGTATACAAATGAACAGGACAGAAGTATTTTATAAATGAACGAATGCATTTTACAAAAAAGCTATTTTGTTGCGGTTTTTTTTCATTTATTACATTTTAATAGTTTCAACATAATATTTGTTTTTACAATTATTTTTGTTTACATTTATATTATACACTGAATTACATAATTAGGTAGGCATAATAGAGCAAAATGTTTTTAAATTATAAGTTATTCTGATGATAACAACGATGATGAAGATTATGATGATGATTCTGGAGATAGCAACACATCTTATGAGAGWCGTTGCTTTAGTCTRTGGTTTTTGGTTCTTTTTTGAATTTTGGAGTGAAGGGCTCCTTTTATTGTTTTTAATTTCGAATGAATTTTAGATTCTGGGCGGAGTGATGAATGTATTGATTTTACCATGATGTGT